TCCAACCGGCCATGCACAGTGCTGGCCCACGGAGATGAGGAGCCACGGGGAGGCGGCGGGCGGCCATGTCCTGGTGCCCGACATTTTCCGTGTCAATACTGTATAAAATGTTTAGCAGAGCTAACATATAGAAAGGGCACAACAGATGTTAGCAATTACCATCATCATATTAATTCCTTCATCCCATGACAATGGGCTGTAGCTGCTACATGGCTATACATACCCATGCAACTGTTTGTAGCATTCTTCATTAATTTGTATGTTCTAATAATCTTGGGCAGTCTATTTTACTTGAGACTATAAACTGAATGAGGGTGGGTGGATCCACAGTACATATGCTCATTTTGCCACTCCACTCCCTGAAGGAAATAGATGTTTGCTGTATTACCAAAAGCAATGACAACCAACACAGGAAAACACACCATGGGCACAGCTTTTGTTTTTCAGCACCTGGTTGATAGGAGGTTGATAATTGTGCTCTGCCTACTTTAGACAACCACTGCTCTCTATTTGAGACCACAAAATTATGAATTTCTATCAAAATTTGTTCCAATCCAAACAAAATGTACTATCTCCACTGATCACATGTCCAAATGTCTTCATATCTGCAGATAGCGTATGTATGCCAATTATGCTGTATGGCATAAAAGTAGATAGATTCATAAAACCTCTACTAACTACGCGCTGCTTTTTTTCTTTTTTTTTGAGACAGGGTCTTGTCGCCTGTGGAGTGCAGTGGCGTCATCAGAGCTCAATGAAACCTCAAAGTCCTAGGCTCAAGTGATCCTTCTGCCTCAGCCTCCGCAGCAGATGAAACCACAGGCATGCACCACTGCACCCAGGTAGTTTTTCTGTTTTTAGTAGAGATGGCAGTCTCACCCTTGCTCAGGCTGGTCTCCAACTCCTAACCTCAACAGATCCTCCTGCCTCAGCCTCCCAGAGCTCTAGGATTACAGACATGGCTACCACATCCAGCCTTCTTCACTGACATAATTTTCAAGTAAAAGCTACAGTTCTACCTTTATGGAATTAAAAAACATAAGAAATCTGCAAAAGCAAGCCTGAAATCTAATTCTCTGCTAACTTCTAGGCCAGGTGTGGTAGGTCACACCTGTAATCCTAGCACTTTGGGAGGCCAAGGCAGGAGGATCACTTGAGGCCAAGAGTTCAGCCTAGGCAACACAGTGAGACTCTTCTCTACAGAGAAAAAAAGAAAAGAAAAGAAAAAACAAAAAACAGCTGGGCTTGGTGGCACAGGGCAGTAGTCCCAGCTACCTCAGAGGCTGAGGTGGGAGGATCACTTGAGCCCAGGAGTTTGAAGTTGCAGTAAGCTATGATCACACCACTGTACTCTAGCCTGGGCAACAGAGTGAGACCCTGTCATTCATTCATAAATGAATAAATAAATAATTAGTCTCAGCTTTTTCTGCCAGAGGAATCAGAATCTAATTATAAAATTTTGCAGTAATCCTATGTAGTAACTTCCAGTAAGCTTTCTGCACTTAAGATACATAAGAATATAACAGGTATTAAAAAGAATATGGGCCAGGAGCGGCGGCTCACGCCTATAATCCTAGCATTCTGGGAGGCTGAGGTGGGCGGATCGTTTGAGCTCAGGAGTTTGAGACCAGCCTGAGCAAGAGCAAGAGCCCATCTCTACTAAAAAAAAAAGAAAAAAGAAAAAAGAAAAAAAAAAAAGAAATTAGCTGGACAACTAAAAATATATAGAAAAAATTAGCCAGCACTCCAGCCTGGGCAACAGAGTGAGACTCTGTCTCACAAAAAAAGGAATATGGCAAAGGTAAAGAATACTTCATATTAAAAAACTAATTTGAGTGAGGTTTCTTTAAGTATAGTTTTAAAACACTATTTTGACTTTTGAAATGTGTATATTTTGCATATTCAAAAATAAAATCTTAAAATATGAAACCAATGAACTATATCAAATTGGTAGCATAACCAGAAAAGAGTATTAAGTGACTTTTGAACATAGTACTCTGATTATAAATAGATACAAAGAAATCTTGATAGTAGTAATACTGGTATTGTAATTTAGAAATAATTTTATGTATACAGGAGAAAGCAAATATTAATTTTATTAGGTACCAAGATTTTCATTTAAGACAAAACAAATATAGAAACAAAGAAAAAACTGTTACGCTAAATCTGAATTGAACTAAATATGTCCCTATGAGCTCATTTAAACAAACACACAAAAAACCATTTTTCAATTCTCTCCTCTTAAAGGACCTAGAAGCAATGATACCCCAGCAGAAATGCATGTGCCAAACATCCAAATCTTGGTTTCTATATACCATTTCTCACTAAAAAGAACCAAGATTCCCAGGATAAACAGCCCTTTTCAGATGTGAAGCAAAGAAAAAAACAAGGTAAGCTGGAGATACATTGTGCCAAAAAGCACTCCAAGATTAAAGGTGAGCAGGGGTGTCAAAAGACATATGACTGTTAAGAAGAACTGAGGAACTTCCCTTTCCCCCAAAAAATATAAAAATTAAAAAAAAAAAAGAAATTTAAAAAGAAAGAAAAGACAAAAGAACCAGCTTGAAATGGTTTCTACTGACCAAATATGGGACAAATTGGTCATTAAAAAGAACTATAACTGGTAATAAAACAATGAATAAATTTGAATCCACAGTCCATAGTGGTATCACCCCAAAAATATAACAAAAAAAGTCCTTATTTGCCATCTTTCAGGTGACTATTACTTCAGCTCTTTACTCAATATTGAAATCTAAAAGAACAAAATTAAGCAGTTAGTCTGCATTTTTAGAACATTTGTTCACCCCTATTTAATGAGGAAAGTCTCTTCCTTATAGAGAACCTCCAATAAAATAACTGATTTAAGCAAGAGTCACTATGGGTGCTAAAAATCACTAAGCAAAAGATAGAAACAGGATATTTGCTTGGTGTCCGAGTTTTACCCCAAGATTACATATTAATCACAAACCTTACATCATTATAATAGGTCAGGTAAGTCACTGCTTTGATCACATGATCACATTTAGCATCATTAAGGATGGCAACCTGACTTATGTACCTCATACATGATGCAGTATGAGATACATAGCATCACCTATTAAATATTCTCACCAAATAAGTTTTACTTTATGGTAACCAAGCCATTTTTTAGACCTAACTTCCAGTTAAAATTGAGGGAGATAGAGAAATAAATGAAATGACATTAGGAAGACAAAACAAGTCATGAATGTGGGTGTATTCTACAAGACAACTAATTTGGTCAATTAGGTGTCACAAAAAGAAGGAATGGGTACCATTCTGTTTTTTAATAAAAGGGAATAAAGAATCACCAAATGCAATGCAGGAATCTTAACTGACTATGGGGGGGGGCTCAAAGAGACTTTTGAACATGGATTGGAATTTTTTATTTTCATAGGTATTGATAATGATATTAAGAGGAGAATGTCCTTATTTTGAGAAGTGCATGTTGAAATATTAGGGTTTACTATATTATAGTAAATTATAGTATATTATAGTATAGTATACTAGGGTATACTAAATATTAGGGTTACTGTTTGCAATTTACTGTCAAATGGTTACACACATACAGAGAAGGGGGAGGCACAAGGATGACAATTTCATGAAGCCTTCCACATTAAAAAAAGGGGGGGAGGTAACAAAACCGCAAAAATGCTAATCACTGAATGGATTATTCACTATATTTCCTCACAACTGTCAGAATGAAATTTTTTCATAACAAGGTTAAAAAAAATTGTCTGGCTATGAAAAGGTACAGTAGAAAGTACACCTACATTGGAATTATATCTGGGTTCAAATCTAAACTATTACTTATTAGTTGTGTGGCCCAAAGCAAATTATTTAATAGCAGTAAATTTCCATCTCATCTATAAAATTAAGCAATAATTCATTAGGTTGTTCTCAGAATTAAATAAGATTACATATGTAAAATGCCAAGCAGTGTTGCACAAAATGAGTAAATCTGGTTTTCATAATTAATGAATATAATCATCCTAAAATACAAGACTAGAGGAAACATTATACTCCGATTCTATAAGGGGAAACTACTTAGATAAAACTAAATATTACTAATCCACTGGAAGTCAAAGTGAAGTAATAGGGGAAATGAAGATTTATATAATTTTTTTTAAATCCAAGAATTCCAACTGAAAAGGGAATAAAAATTCTCATCTATCCAAACTCTCTGGTATCTATCAAATTGTGCAGTTTGCTGCTATTAGCCTATTTCCAAATAAAACACTAAGAATATAAGTGGAAGTTATAAGGAATTTTTTCCTGACCTCAACAGATAATCTACCTACATGTTAAAAAAGAAATTAAAGTTTCTGTCTTCGTTTCTATAAGTAGGTTCAAATAAAGCACACAATTATTGGGCTTTATTCTAAATCCTGCTAAGGTTCATAGAACTCACACGGATGCAATTTCTTTTCATCAGTTCTAATGTACTTATCATTTCACTTGCAGGTAACCTGTTTTTCTGATTAGGCCAGCAGTGAAAGGACTAGATGCAGAACGATCCTCAGGTAGGAAAGAAAAGAAGTGATTTTATCTTATTTTTTAAGAAGTGCCATCTTTTTATTTCCTGTACCAGGGAAAAAGCATTAAGAGAGAAGAGGAAAAAAACAGGTCTCAGGCCCCCTGGTTCCGATCAGGTGAGAGAAGGTAACACTTCCGACTGCTGTGGGTTAGGGTTTTGGGCAAATGGGCGTGCAAATGCCCGGCAGCACCCTGAAAGATCGGGGCAATCGCCTGTGGACTGAGGGGCCCAAGGCCAGTCTCCTCCCAGAGGGATTAAATGCTACTGGGGGTGGCATTTAGTACCCTGTGGGGTGTCTCCCTGCGCAGATGGGGGTGACAGACCATGCTTTCCTTTCCCTCCAGCGCCCAGGTGCGAGACGCGTGGTGTCAGCCCCCGGCGGCGAGCAGCGCCCGGTCACCCCCGGCTCGGGCAGGGCGGCCCGCCGGCCCTCCCCTCCCCTTACCTGCGGGCGGCGGTGCCAGGGCCCGGAGGCCTGCTGCTGCTCCTCCTCCTCCCCGCCAGGCTGAAGCGGCGAGGTGGCGGCGGCGGCGACAGCCCGGGGGGAGGGGGCGGAGCGCGCGGCTCGCTCCCTCTCCTCCCCCGGGAGGCTCAGGGACCCTATCTCGGGCCGCCGCGCCTAGGCCCGTGAGCAGCCTGTGGCTGGGGCATGGCGGCACTGCCCACCGGCGCGCCTGTGAGGGGGGAAAGTGCAACGCGGCGGGGAGGAAGCACCCCCCGGCGCTCGGAGGGGCGTGCGGGGAAGAGCCGGGGGCCCGGGAGCCGTGCGCGGGCGGCCGTTGGGGACGGTTGGCCGAGGGCAGGTGGCGATTTGGGGAGCGCGGCGACGGCTCGCGTTTTCCCGGCGGGGCGGGGTGGGGAAGGGGATGGGGAGTGAGGGGAGGGGAGGGGGAGGTTGGGAGGGAGCCGCCGCCGCGCGCGTGCGGGCCGGCGCCGCCGTTGCCGCTCCGCTCACTCCAGCCTGTTTGGGGGCACTTTGTTTGTGTCCCACAATGCTCTGCGCGGGCGGCCTCGCAGAGGAAGGGGAGGGGAAGGGGTGGGGCGGAGCGAGCTCGGGGGCGGGGCTCGAGGCTGTGGAGAAGTGATTACCGCGCAAGCGCAGAAAAGGGGCCCTCCCGGTCGTCGGGACTTGCACAGTGGGCGATTCAGTCTCCTAAGGTGTTGAAACCCGCACGACGCAGACTTGTGTGTCTTGACACTGTATGCGTTGTTGCCTGTGTGCACAAGTGCAGATTTACGTTCATATGCTCCAAAAGCCCTGTCCAGTTCGTCCTTCCTCCAGCCATCTGGGCCAGCTCCACGCTTACGCTGAGAGAAGCGTTTCTCCTCAGGGCTTACGCTGAAAGAAGCGTTTCTCCTCAGGATTCACGCTTCTCGCATTTTTTTTTTCTTTGAATTAACAAGAAGCAGCTCCTGTTTGCTAGGGTGGTTTCTGTAGCGGGTTGAAACCGAAACACCCCAACCCTTCTCTCTTGGCAAGGGAGGTTAGCTGGTAATGTGCCCATTTTTCACGTGGAAACTGAGGCCTGCCAAGGGGCGGCCGGCAGGCAGTGAGGATGCAGAGAACCCAGCGCGCCCCTGCTCGCGCTCCTGGATGGACCGCGGACCTGCGGCGGGTGGGTCCGATCCCCTACCCACGGCCTTGCCTCCTCTGGCATCCTCATAGTGCTGGAAGGTGGTTCTGGCATTTTCCTGGGTGAACTGGCAGGACATGCAGTTCTGAGATGGCTGGAGAAATGGACTTCTTCCCTCACCACAGGACACCTACACTTGTTCCAAAAATAAACCTATCCCTTCCACAACCGTGAATCTGTCATTTTCTTTACACACACCGTCACTTACTTCCCTGGCCTTCCTAGGACAGAGTGTGAGCGTCACCCCAAAGTAACCCGTACTGCCTGGGGGTTTTCGAGTTCTTGGTCAACTGCAAAACCAGTCCTGTAAGGTGTGAAGACTCCCAGGGCCCCAAGTCTTGGCTTTCCCGGGCCTGGCCTGGTGGGCTGCCGGGCTCCGCACCGACCCCCAGCGTTACAGGGGCGCCCCGGGCTGCAGGGGCAGCGCCCCAGGTGCGTGGAGGTGGATGGGGCACAGGTCGGGTCGGGGGCAAGGCTGATGGGCCTCCAGCGCTCCTGGTTACATACTTCACTTCGTTTTCCCACGCCTCCAGCTTTCAAACCGAAAGTCTTCTTTCCAAAGGGCGTTGTGCAAGGTGGGTGGACGTCCCGCTGAAGTAGAGTGGATTTTTGTTCTGAAACAGTTGGCAACATCTCACATTAATCCTCTCCCTGAGAGACAAGCAGCTGAGCACCTGAGCACTCTAATTCTAGCAATTGAAATCCACTTTAGAAATACAGGCAATAAAAACTTGTTTGTATAGTCCTTTGCAGTCTCTAACAAGTTTCAAGTAGACATGTTATTTAATCCTCTCGGCAACTGTAATCCACAGGTTTTTATTATTATTCTCACTATCATTTTTATTGTCCACATCTCAGGGATGAGAAAAATCAGAAAGATGCTAATTAGGCCCAGAAAGTTTTGCTTGGAGATTTGCAGCAGGGGAAGGGAAAGAAGGCAGAGCGCTTACCTGGGATAGGCAGCCACAGACAGTGGCTCTGGAAGGGGCCCTGGTGGGAGTGTTGAGAGTGTATGCACAAGGTGAACCACTGCAGAAGAATCAGGGTGGGAATAAAGTAGTCAAATAAATTCAGCCTACCTCTTCTAGGGCATTAAAATAGGATAGTCAACGAAAGATCATACTACGCAAGTCCTTTTCTTTTTATTTTTTGAGACAGAGTCTCGCTGTGTTGCCCCAGCTAGAGTGCTGTGGCATCAGCCTAGCTCACAGCAACCTCAAACTCCTGGGCTCAAGCAATCCTCCTGCCTCAGCCTCCTGAGTAGCTGGGACTGCAGGCATGCGCCACCATGCCCGGCTAATGTTTTCTATATATTTTTAGTTGTCCAATTAATTTCTTTCTATTTTTAGTAGAGATAGGGGGTCTCACTCTTGCTCAGGCTGGTTTCGAACTCCTGCCCTTGAACAATCCGCCTGCCTTGGCCTCCCAGAGTGCTAGGATTACAGGCGTGAGCCACCGTGCCCGGCCATATACGCAAGTCTTTACTAAGTGTGTCTCAAGGGACTAAGGTGGCAGCTCCTCCGCTGCCCAACTGGCAGCAATGACACCAAAAATTGCTTTCCTTTGTAGTAAAATTTGAAGTCAGGTAGTGTAATGCCTCCAGCTTTGTTCTTTTTTCTCAGGATTGCTTTAGTTATGTGGGGTTTGTTTTTTGGTTTCGTGCAAATTTTTGGATTTTTTTTTTTTTATTTCTGTGAAGAACGTCATTGATATTTTGATAGGGATTGCACTGAACCTGTAGATCGCTTTGGGTAGTATGAACATTTTAGTGATATTAATTCTTTCAATCCATGAGCATGGGATATCTTCCCATTTCCAGTGTATCCTTTCCAGTTTCTTTCATCAGAGTTTTATAGTTTTCTTTACAGAGATTTTTCATTTCTGGCCAGGTGCAGTGGCTCATGCCAGTAATCCCACCATTTTGGGAAGCCAAAGAAGGAGGATCACTTGAGGCCTGGAGTTTGAGACCAGCCTGGGCAACATAGTGAGATTTACCCCCCACTTTCTACAAAAAAAAAAAAAAAAAAGAAATTAATTGGCACTTTCTACAAAAAAAAAAAAAAAAATAGCCAGATGCAGTTGCACATGCCTGTAGTACCAGATACTCGGTAGGCTGAGGCAGAAAGATCCCTTGAGCCCAGGAGTTCCAGGCAGCAGTGAGCTACGATCATGCCACTGCACCCCAGCCTGGGCAACAGAGCGAGCCCATGTCTCAAATAAAAAGGATATCTTTCATTTCTTTGGTTAAATTTATCCCTAGATATTTTATTTTTGTAGCTCTTGTAAATGAGATTGCTTTCTTCATTTCTTTTTCAGATTGATTGCTATTGGCATATAGTAAAGCTACTGATTTTTATATGTTGATTTTGTCTCCTGCAACTTTATTGGATTTGTTTATAAATTCTAAGAGGTTCCTGTCTCAATGTATTTAAAAAAATAAATAAAATAAATTCTAAGAGGTTTTTTTGGTGGAGTCTTATAAGTTTTTCTGCAAACAAGGATAATTTCACTTCTTCCTTTCCAATTTAGATATGCCATATATATATATATATATATATATATATATATATAGAGAGAGAGAGAGAGAGAGAGAGAGAGAGAGAGACACCTTTCTAGTAAGATAGATATGCCCTTTACTTATTTATTTTGCCTGGCTGGGAGAGGTGGCTCATGCCTATAATCCTAGCACTCTGGGACGCCAAAGCGGAAAGATTGCTTGAGCTCAGGAGTTTGGGACCAGCCTGAGCAAGAGTGAGAAATAGAAAGAAATTATCCAAACTACTAAAATAGAAAAAATTAGCTGGGCACAGTGGCGTGTGCCTGTAGTTCCAGCTACTCAGGAGGCTGAGGCAGGAGGATCGCTTAAGCCCAGGAGTTTGAGATTGCTGTGAGCTAGGCTGATGCCACTGCACGCTAGCCCAGACAAGAAAGTGAGACTCTGCCTCAAAAAAAAAAAAAAATTATGTTGCCTAACTGCTCTAGCTATGACTTCCAGAACTATGTTGAATAAAAGTGGTGAAAGTGGGTATCTTGTATTGTTTTAGATCTTGGTGGAAAGGCCTTCATTTTTCCCCATTCACTATGATATTAGCTATAGGTTTGTCATATATTGTTTTTTAAAAAATGATTTTTTTCCCCTTAGATTATTTTCCTGCCTTCTCTCTCTTTCCCTTCTTTCTCTTTTCTATTTCTCATTTTACATTTAAACATTTTATCATCCTCCCACCCAACCCATGCCCCAGGTCTGAAGAATCTATTAACCAACAAATAGCTGTTGGGCCCTTAAGGGCACAGTACTAGATACTTGAAAAGGGTGTGAGAAAAAACACAAAGAAGATTATCTTTGCCAGAGCCCTCTTGTCTGTTTTGGCTTTGGGCAGGGTCAGTTTCTGTGGCTTCTGCAGCCTCCTACCTTTTCTCTTCCTGAGCTGGTAGAGACTTGCCTTTGTGTTGCAGGAATACACACATCTTTCTCTGGCACTAGGTTAAATAATACTGCTGGGAGGATTTTGTGAAATCAGAATCCTGTACACAGGTGAAATAAATTTAGACAGTATGAGGAAACTTTAATTATTAATATTAATCCAGCATGAATGATTCTGAGGAATTTAAATTCCAGGCAAATACCAGGGGTTTTATTTCAGCCATGAGCTCTTTTGGGGACAGTTTATGGCTGCACTTCTGGCAAAAAAAAAAAAAAAAAAAAAAAGACACTTTCATGTGGTAAACCAGTGGAGGAGAATAGGAACTCAGTTATTTAGTCCAAAACATATTCTGGAGCAAAAACGTTTTCTACTCAACGGAAAGATATAATGGACCAAAGTTTCACTTCTGACAATTTTAACAATGGATGAGTTATTAGAGGCACTTCACAGGGTCACTTCTACTTCTCTGCTTCCAACTGGGGCAGGGACCTGAAAGAGGCAAACTCATGTATAGTGGTAGCACCTGACCCACTCATGTGACATATTGTTTTACTCTAGTCTCTTTTACTTATGGTTACATTACCATACTTCCTCGGGGTGCTAGGAAAGGTCTCAGAAACTATTTTTTTAGGGGCTTAACTTAAGCCTGTTTCTAAAGGGCTACCCTTATCCAACAGGTCAAGCGGCAACATCCTATCTCGCTTTAGATGGGTTTCTTAAATCAATTCCAGGGTGTATGTAATTTCTATTGTAGGTGCAGAGCTTTGCTTACTTGTTGGGTTAGGTTACCTCCGCTACAAAGGGGCG